ATATATAGGATTTCATTATCACAAAGGCATTCAATGAGATGAAAAAGAAATGTTGTTTCCAACAGAGAAATAGGTTGACATGTTAGGGTGAGGATGAGTATCCCAATGAATGCACCATGGTTTCTCGAGGTGACGATTTGACTTTGAGGGGCTCCCATGCCGCTGACTGCCTGCCCTCTCTTACCCACATATCCTCTCTCGGCTGTGCAGCTAAAGATGTTGTCTTGACTTGGAAGCTCGATCCACACAAGCAACGGAGTGACTTTGTGCTTCCCAAGATTCATTGGTTTGCACATCTCAAGTCAAAAGTTGTGGACACACTATCATTTTGCTGTGGATGGAGATGACGATGGGTGACACGCCCATGAATTCTGATTTCTTCAAATATCTATCATCTTGGATCGAAATTGAATTCGAGTTCGACTCTCTCGTACCTAAAGAAATATCAAGTGTGGTCTAATTAAAGGATATCTCCAACTTAGGATCTGATCTCACGGTGGAGCTTTTTAGAGTTTTGAATTCAAACACTCGATGAAGTAATTCTTTGGCTGAGGAAAACATTCTATCACTCACTCTAAAAAATATACATGTTATTCTTAATAGTAAAGACATTTTGGCCTCGACGATCTCTATAAAAGAGATAAGATGCTCTGTGCATATTGGGGTTAGCAAGTATTTCAGAGTTTTAATAAGATTTATATTACTTGAAGGATTAGAATTATGAATTCAAGAAGGAAAATAGTCTATTATGATTTAGGATTTATTTATTCTACAATGACCTTAAAATTTTCTAGATTTTGGGTAAGGAGCGAGATATGAGAAAATAATCCGAGTGTTTCTAAGTTTCTTTTTAATAAACCTCGAGAGAATGAGATAATATACAAAAGAATTTATACTCGATTTTGGGTTTAAAAAAGTGTTTGAATTGATCTAGTAAAAAAAATAAACATATATATCTAGTGCACGAGGCTCTCACCAATACAGGGTTTATGGAGGGTTAATGTATGCAATTTTATCTTTAAATATGTAAAGAGGTATATAATGAATAATTTAATTTTCTTCGTAGATATATATAATGAGTCATAAATCTTTTATAAGCTTTCTAGCATATTATTTGATTATTAACCTATAAGATTTATTTCGTAGTTTTGGTTATTATTTCTCTCTCATATGGTTCGATTATAGTATCTAATACATATATTATATAATATTTAAATTAAAAATATCCTTTGTATTTATGACTCGTTTTGGATACTGAAAATGTTAAATGTTATTTAACTTGAGGTAAGAATATAATGACATGAAACATGAATTTATTATTTTATCTACAAAATTGGATGTCGTAAAATAAAAAGAGTCTATATGCATAAAAAATAGAGAACTGAAAATATTAAATAAAATGGTGTCACACGATCTCACCTTTAAATAATTTTTTGTTAGATCATATAGTTTAAATTTAATTAAGAGATTATATATTGTAAACTAAATTAAACAACTCAAAAATCTTAAACCTAATCATGGCACAAGCTCTTTTTGTCTTTTTTTTTTTTTAACCAAATGAGGAGATATATAGATAGTTGGTAAAATAAAGCACTTGCAATCAATCAAGGAGGGTATCATTTAACGAAGAAGGTGTTTCCAATTTTGAGATCGAGAGCGATAACCTTTTCCTTGTAAAGAGCCTAATCAAGAATGTTTGAATTATCAAAAGATAAGATTTTATATTAAAATAAAAAAATATGATAAATGATTGAATAAGGATTAGATGTTAGTATTGAATAACATAGATAAGATGTTATAATCTGTTAAAGATCAGACGACATAGTGAAAAAATGAATAATATGTCAAAAAAAAAGAAAAACTCAATGACATGTCAAAAAAGTGGTTGATGTTTTGAAGTCTTGATTGAGATCAAATGGATTGAAATTTAGTACTATCTGGACTCAAAATGGGTCATTGTGATGTTAGATTGTTTGGGTTGATTTTTGGATTATTTTGAGTCCTTAGTCATGGAAGCCCAATTTAGATGGTGCTCCCATCCACCTCCTACCGTATGTCATTTCTATGATTTCACAATAGTATTATTGGGAGCGATGATTAGTCTTCTTATTTAGGATTATTTTTTATTTACTCCATATTTTTTTTATGCTCGAGGCCTCTATAAATATCTCACTTAGTTGAACAAGTGTTTTCAATAAATGTTAAGTATGAAACTTACTTTACAAAGAAGTCTTGTTTGTGTTCGAAAAGTTATTCCTTAAAAAAAGAGCAATATAAACGTAACGTTTGATCCTAACCTTTGAAAAAGATAAAATAATTAATCATAAGATTAATAGTGAAAGTGAATGAGAAGAGAAATCAGGAGCGATGATAAGTCAGAATGAATTGATTAGGTTCAGAGTGAAAGTTTATGTGGATTATGTTCAAGCTTAATATTGATTATGTTATGTTAGTAGTTAATGACGATGTCAAACAATTATGAAAAAATTATAATATTTAATTTTATCCCGCATCCAAAATGGTCTAAAACCTAAATCAATTTAAAAGGGATGGATGAATCGACTATCGTTAACCTACTCAAGTATTTAAGCATTTCAAATATTTTCAAATATATATTAGGATCCAACACCAAAAAAAAAAAAAAAAGATTGAATTATATTTTATTATCGCACAATTTTCATGATAAATTTTGGGATCCCGAGATGAAAAGGCATAGCTGGTGATGTCATTCATCAGCAACACCGGATCCAAATCGCCCGAGACTCTCGTGATGCTGCACCCTTTCATTCCTTTGTCTTCCCCCTTCCCTTCCCAATTTCCCAACTTTGGTTCATCAGGACATGACTCAGACGCCATTATTGTCTTCGACAGCACTTCAAATTTCGAACATGCAGCGGGAACAACTCCTCCATCGGAACCCGACAAGCCGCAAGAATCCAAACGCGGTCGGTGGATTCACGTGCGCGGTCCGAATCCGACAACGGCACCCACGTGGGCCCACGCAGTCAAACGTAGTCGCCTTCGTCCCCCATCGGGAAACGCTCGTCCGCGATCGAACGGATCCGTTACGATGCGTTTCCCAAATAAATCATGCGTTTCGTGAACCCTCGGATCAACCTCAGTTCGTGATCGAGTCGCGTTCCTCCTCCCCGCCCCCCCCCCCCCCGTTGCGGTAACTCCACTCGCGTTCCTCCTCGGCGGAGAGAAGGGAAGGAGGACGACGCCGGAGCTGACGAGATGGCGAGACCGACATCCCTGCTTCTCTTGCTGTGCGTCATCGTCGCCGCCGCCGCTCAACTGTTGGCGCCGGCTGGGGCGGCCAAGTTCGCCTGCAACGCCCGGGGCGGGGCAGCCAGATGCCAGTCCCTCCTCGGCTACACCCCGCGCAACGCCACCACCCTCGCCTCCGTCATGTCCCTCTTCCAGGTCCGCTCCTTCCGCTCCCTGCTCGCGGCCAACGGCCTGCCCCTCTCCACCCCGCCCTCCCGCCCCGTCCCCGCCCGCGCCACCGTCCGCGTCCGCTTCGCCTGCGCCTGCTCCGCCGGCCACGGCGCCTCCATGCACCGCCCGTTCTACAAGGTCGCTCCCGGCGAGACCCTCGACGGCATCGCCCGCGGCGTCTTCGCCGGGTTCGTCACCTACCAGGAGATCGCGGCGGCCAACAACATCTCGGATCCGGCGCTGGTCCAGGCCGGGCAGGAGCTGCACATCCCGCTGCCGTGCAGCTGTGACGAAGTGGAGGGCGCCGCGGTGGTGCACTACGCGCACCTGGTGGCGGCCGGGAGCTCAACGTCGGGAATCGCGGCGGAGTTCGGGACGGCGGAGGAGACGTTGATGAGCTTGAACGGGATTCGCGATCCCAAGAGCCTTCAGGCCGGCCAAGTTCTGGATGTTCCACTTCGAGGTTTGCTTCGCTAGCTGTTCTCCCCTCCGGTTTCCTTCCTCTTCCAACTCATGCCGGTGCATCACGTGCAGCTTGTTCTTCCTCGATAAGCAACGCCTCCATCGACCGCGGCCTTCATGTCCCAAACGGAAGCTACATCCTGACTGCAAACAACTGCGTCCTCTGCAGCTGCAGCTCCTCCACTTGGCAGTGCGTAGATCATTCAGCTTAAGGCATCGCGATCATAATCTAACAACACATTCTTCTTCTTCTTCTTCTTCTTTGATGGCGATCAGGTTAGAGTGTCATCCTACAAAGGGGCTCAGCTCTTCGGCTTGCCCTGCAGCAACCTGCGGTGATCTCGCCCTCGGGAACTCATCATCCAGCACAGATTGTGAGAGCAAGACTTGTGTGTACGCTGGCTACACCACCACCACTGCCAGCTTCAACATCCTCACCAACCTTACCACCCAGTCGCTGTGCGACGGTAAGTTGGATGTCCAAACTGACGCACTCATCACGACATGATCGATTGCATACTGATGTCGGTGCTGGCTGATCAGCTGCAGGCGCACCGATGCCGCAACCGAGTGCTGGTTTTGATCTGCAATCAGGAGTGCAGTGGGCGTACTTGGCGGTGCTGTCCATTTGCTTTAACGTGGCTTTGGTAGGCTTTGTATTGTGAGGTAAAAGGAGAGAGCTTCCTTCAGTGATGTTGATGGTTGTTGAGTCCCTTGCAAGAGGCTCTCCTGCTCGGTTAACACTAAGAACTAAAAGGATTCTAATATCTCTGTGACTTTGATCTTTCATGTTAGCAGAGTAAATCTTATTTGTATTCTAATATCACAAGGAATCCAAAGCGGGACGAAGAAGTAAAAAAGAAGGAAGAATAAGGAGCAGATGAGGAGGAAGACAAATTGCGGAGAGAAAGAAAAAAGCAGCAGTATTGCTCAGCCTCGTTCATGTATAATAGAGCGCCAAATTGCTTTCAGGCTTCTGAGATAATAGATATGCATCAATTCCAATTACAAAACATGACTGAGAATAAATTAAAAAGACAATCTCATATATACTTCTTCAAAGCATCAAATTTGTTCCCTTTTAAAAACTATAAAATTCATGCGCATATATATCCCCGAAGAATTTAAAAAAAAAAAATCAAAATACCCCATTAGTCATCCACCGGTAGCCTATTGACTCGTTAACATGAGATTATAAATGTCTCACAAAAAAAACATTTCACCAATCATGGGGCTTATTTCCAAATAAAAATGGCACACCAATGCCCCTACAATGTGTATCAAATATTCTAAAAACCAATTACTTTGGCTACCGATGATACACAAAGATTCCAATCAGTATAACCCTGCCAAATGGTGAGATAGAGATATTAAATGTGACAGATATATGTTGTGACATGTGGATACTCACTGCTTGCATCATCAGTATCAGACATCCAAGATGAGAGAAGGCCCTGTTTCTTTTCCTAAAGCCAATCAAGGTATATGAACAGAACTCACTTCGACATGAACTGCCCGACTCATTGCAGATTAGGCAAAAATTTTATGCATTCAAGCCAATAATGTAAAGTGATTTTCTCAGTCCTTAGTAACCCACCGGAATCCATAGATCTGATACCCACCATGGCCATGATCACTACTATCTCCCCCGCTTTCTGCACTTGTATATCCTGATTTCTGGCGATGTCTTCTTCCTCTTTTGGCCTCGCTGTCGCTAATGCTTCCATATAGTAGCGGATCATCAATTCCATGAAAAACTTGTGGGCTAGGTGAAGTCGACCCAGTGGATCTGTCATCCTTAGTTTTCAACTTCTTCTTTTCATGCTTTCTTATGTTCTCGGAGATTTTGTGAAGATTCCGATTAAATCGTGTGAAACCCTTCTCCATGGGCTCCACTGCTTGGTTAACTGTAAACTTCAAATCATTTATAATCTGCAAAAGAAAATACAAATTTCACCAGAAAGAAAACAGACACCAAATACATTGCCATACAACATTTTTCACACAATAGGTAATGAGCACTAAAACAAGCAGACTATGTTTTTTCATACTAATATATGTTATTTGTGCTTTTCAAAACAATGTGTATATCTCTTTTCTGGTAAATGTTTGGATCTCAGGTTCAGGCTAATGTGAGAGAGTAGTGATGGCCTACTATAACCATGTCAAGTCTTAATTGATGGTATGTTTTCACCTATAATCAAAGGAAAATTACATTATGCTCAAGATCTTTGTAGCTCAAATCATATCTTGCATTGAGGATTCTACAAATTTATCTGAAACTACTATTTGGATTTACAACTAATCAGGATTCTTCCCAAAGAAATATAAGAAGAATCAGCCTAAGGTTCTAACTGAAACGTGTAAAGGGAACCATGTTGGGGTTTTAAAAATAATTCAACATAACTTCAGCTTTGAGAAAAGAAACCTTGTAAAATATGGGATGATGGCTGTGATAGCATAAATATTGTCTTTTCAACTTAATCCAAATCCTCAAATAAATAAGAATAATTTACTCATCATAGGAAGCCCACATTTCATGAAACTCCCAATAGTTTCTGCAGGATTCCCCAGGTACCAACTACTACAAACATCTTCAAATTTCATACAAAAGAAAGCTTTTGTATGATATCGGTAAACAACACAAGCTTGCATCTATCTCCGTTATGATGAAATGAACTCAGCGTGGAACAAGCTAACATTCATCCCTAAATGTGGATAATAACCATAAAGAAAACTTCCTATAAGCAGACATGTTTGACTTGGTGGATGTGAATGGTTAGATAAAGATCTCGAAAATGGCTTCAAATTGGAATTGTAAATCTTGACAAGAAGCATATCGACAGGATGTAGTAGTCAGAGCAAGACTAAAGCTTACATATTCTCCACCTCCGAGAACAACATCACAAAAGCTTTCTCTAATAGCTGTCGTTTGGGTATCAACATCAGGCTGGGGGAGTCTCAGTTTTGTGGGTCTTTCGCTGTCTCTCACCTCATCAGGGTCTAAAGGGCACTCCAAAGATGCATAGTCTCCGAGAACAGAAACACATCCAGGGAAGCAGTCACCCATCAACTTGTATGGCTTGGCAGGGAACACATAGAGATGGATAATGCCCGCAACACACATCTGTGCTGGAGGAACGAATAGGTTGATTAGAGTTTCAACTTGCCTGGGGCTTCCAATATATGAAATAAAATGAGTATTTTACAAGCTGATTATATAAAAGTCCACTGAACTTATTATAAAAATACATGAGTGCACTTGCGAAGGTATCCGATTCTTAGAAAGAACAAAAACAAATTAAGAAAGAAAACAACTGAAAAATATTACATATGCATGAATAAATCACTACTACATGTTTTCATCACAATCAGTTCGTTTCGATTTCTTACATGTAGTTAAACATCAGAGACTAAAAAAGGTGTACTGTTACATTTTCTTCTTTAACAGACCAAAAACAAACAAGAACCAATCTCATTGATCATGCAGATCATTACATTATTTCAATGCAATTTCAATATATAATTAAAAAGATCTGTAAAAGCAAAATTCATATGGTAGTGTATATAGAATAAGAAATAACAAAATTACCTCTATACAAATAATGAAGTCCTGCACACTTGATTTAGACTGTAAAGTTTGAGCTATAGAACTTTTGAACAAACCCCAACTGTAGAGTAGTGCAATTGCCACATCTTGCCACCATGTCAGAAAGACGATTGATTTAAACATCAGGAACTTGGCCAGTGGCTTTATATGAGCTAGTTCATCCTTTGTAGCAGTATAAAATAGAACTAAACAGTACAACGCCCATGACTGACTGAAATTGAGAACCACAGCCATGTAAGGGTACCTACAAAGTTGAGAGATAGGCTAAGAATTTGTCGCTATACAACAACAAAACCAGAAACTTTATACGTAGTACAGATGATAAATCATGTAACATGATACAATTTGTTCTCATTATGAAGGCTAGAGAGTAACTAGTGAAGATCATGTCTGCTCATAATCACAATGGATAAAGGTATCATGTCAAAGTACATTCTATTACACGCCAAAATGACAAGAATGAAGATTTACTATTTCACGTGGTGCTTGGTGGTTCCTTTAGTAGCTTTCCTAATCATGCCAGCAATAATGTGGTTCACAACCATCATCCATCTCTAAACAAGTATACTTAATTGTAGCACCAATTATGACACACTTTAAGGTTAAAAGGTTGATTCTATTAACTAACACTAAAAGGTTGGAAATTGTACTCTGACATACCTAACAGTATCTAAATGCATATCACATAAAACTGAGCTCCTTTCTGTTTTCTTCATGGTAGAGCATGGTATTGTATGAAAGTAGAAGGTTTGCTAAAATACCTCCCAGAAAATAAATGACTTAAAAAGTTTCAAATGCATATAGTTTTCCAGCCTTTAGGTTTTCTCAACAGTTTGGACCTCGCGAGCAGACATAAAGCATATCCAACACATAATATACATACAAAGTATCTGGTTTTGAGTCTTTTGACAACAAACATACTTTATTTTGGTGTTTTAGATGCATATGCTCTCCATACTCCTATGTGCTTCAAATTCTGCCAAGTATCTATAATAGGAGAATATCATGAAGATCTAGAAATGCTTCAAAGCAATCCATAGTCAGGAAAGAAAGACAGTAATAGGCTAACAGCCACACTGTCAACTTAGTTTTCACTTACCCACAAGTCAATTTAAACTCTCCATCACAATATACTCCCAAAGTTTCAAGACTTACAGCTAAAACTGCAGTTACAGTCTTTATTATCATCTGTACAAAAAGGAGAGAACTTAATTATATTAATTTGACTTAAATTTTATTAATTTGCCTGTTACACAGAAAGATATAACAATCTTAGGTTAAAGCTTACATATTGAACAATTCCGATCTTGATAATCCGGTAAAACCACTCGCCCAGTCTCCAGGGCTTCAAAATGTAATTCATCGGAAATGGATGCTTTATTACTCCCTTCTCAGAAGCATTCTCTAACAAGGGTGTTTTAGAACTTGAGGCACCTTGCCTCTTCAAAAGTTCAATTGTTCTGTCTTCACCACCTACAGAAGAGTAAACTGCAATCAGAAATTATAGCAAGATGCTGTCAGAGAAAACACAGTACATGATCGTATTAGTGAAGACCAATGAGACAACTAGTGCCATGATGTTAGGCTAAAGAAGTCCTTGAGCATGTGATGACTATTTGACATATTTCACACGAGCTGCTTAAGTAGCAGTCTCGATAAATAACTATACGATGTTAGTCATCTGTGATGCATTTGCAACTAGTCATAAGCAGAATAAATTGCCATCTTAGTGCGTATTGATGATCTAGATAATTAATTGACTAATTACCAATCATAATATTCTAGAAAACTGTATCTAGTAATATACAAACTATGAATATATTTCTCCGTTTGTTACATTTTAATTTCCTTAACGAGGCTGAGCCTATTATAACAAAGTTCTTGTGTGTTTCTTGTAACTTTCCTGCTCCAATCAAGCCATGGTGCACTAGTACCTCCTAAATAAATTTAGATGTCAAGTTTTGTACTCAGTTTAGGAAAACTTGGACTTTGTCATGACAATGCATGGCAGTCAATATAGCCATTAAAATCAATGATTTAAAAAGCGTCAAGTACCAAAAGGTGCCAAGGTCCCAAAACACTCAAGGCGCTAGGCACTCGCCTGAGCGAAGCAAGACACTCTAAAATATTAAAATATAAAAATAATATAATTAATAAATACAATTATTTAAATAAAAATATGATATTAAATTAAAATATACTATTAATAGTAG